GTCAGATTTAAAGAGTCAGAAACAGATTCAGATTTAAAGACTCTGATTTAAAAAAATTAGATAACAGATTTATATTTAAAGAATCAGCTTTAAAGAGTCAAATGTAAAGGGTCAGATTTAAAGAGTCAGAAACAGATTCAGATTTAAAGACTCTGATTTAAAAAAATTAGATAACAGATTTATATTTAAAGAATCAGCTTTAAAGAGTCAAATGTAAAGGGTCAGATTTAAAGATTTATATTTAAAGAGTTGGATTTAAATAAAAAAACTTATCTGATTTAAAGATTCAGTTTTAAAAATTCAGATAAACCGAATCAGATTTACAGATGCAGATTAAAAGAATTAGATAAACAGATATAGATTTAAAGAGTGAGATTTAAAGAATTAACTAACAGATTCACATTTAAAGAATTAGATTTAAAGATTCTGATTAAAAGAGTCAGAGTTAAAGATTCAGTTCAGTGGAGAGGAGCTGACTCACTGTGACGTGATCAGGCAGAGCTCTGTAAACGGTGATGCAGCCGTTCACAAACAGGAAACAGCTGACGTGAGGAAGTTTGTCAGCAGCTGCAGAGCTCTTCTTCAGGCGGGTAAACTGATGAAAATCCCAGGGGACAGAGCAGCTGTCCACCTGCAGCAGGTGAGCACATGAAACACCTGTCAGCACCATAACTCACGGTGGGATTGGAGACCCCGGTATTAACGCAGACGTCTTTGAATGTTGTTCACCTTGAGGAGAACATTCTCGTTTTCCATTTCGCCTCTAAAGATGGAGAAACTGCCTCTGTCTAAACATCTGGAGTGGACGGTAAACAGGCTGCCCCCTAGTGGACCAAAACAGAACACCAACCAGTCCAGGCAGAGGTGACACTTTTACATTTCATCAGTTCAAATCATTTCATCTTCCTGTTCAGGAAAACGCATCTATTCAAACTTTACCCAAGTCCAGAACACTGTGCTCCTCAACATCAGGGAGGGGGCGGGGCTCTGACAGCAAGTCTGGACAGGAAGTGATGTCACAATGTTCCAGCAGTCGTCTGCGAACATCTGGATCACAGGGATCCACAGCTGGAACAAAAAGAACTCTGGAGTCAGAAAAGAAAAATCCAACAGGTTCTGAACACAACCTTTATTAAACTCCATCCATCTGTTCATCCATCCATCTGTTTATCCAACCAACTGTTCATCCATCCAACTGTTCATCCAACCATCTGTCCATCTGTTCATCCATCTGTTCATCCAACCATCTGTCCATCTGTTCATCCATCTGTTCATCCAACCATCTGTCCATCTGTTCATCCAACCATCTGTCCATCTGTTCATCCATCTGTTCATCCAACCAACTGTTCATCCATCCATCTGTTCATCCATCCAGCCATCCATCTGTTCATCTATTCATCCAACCATCCAACTGTTCATCCATCTGTTCATCCAACCAACCATCCATCTGTTCATCCAACTGTTCATCCATTCATCCATCTGTTCATCCAACCAACCATCCATCTGTTCATTCAACTGTTCATCCATCCAACCATCCATCCATCTGTCCATCTGTTCATCCAACCAACCATCCAACTGTTCATCTTTTCATCCATTCATCTGTTCATCCTGTTGAGGCTTAGCA